CTTCAGACTATTTGTTCTGTAAATCTAAGGTTTTTTTAATTAATGAGGTCAGACACGCTGATGATATTTAATTTGCTGATAGCACTTGAAGCTTCCCCTTCCCAGAAGCTATGTCCTGTGATAACTGTGCAACAGGATGTGTATCTAAAAGCTGAAGAACTGCTGTGTGCTGTCTTCCAGCGCTATGTAGCAGGTGCACGTGCCACCAAAGGACTGTACGTGCTTAAATTAAAAATGCAAGTAGTGCCTAACTCATTTCAGTACTTCTGGAGAAGTCTGAAGTGGGTCTATGCTACTTCCGTTCTGAAGTGACCGCTTTTGCAGATGTATATGCTGTGGTAGTGGGATTGGGTTTTAATTGGATGGATGGGTTGGATGGCTTTGCTCATCAGTATTAACCTCCACTCCTGATAGTTCTGTCTTCAGGTTACTTTATATAGTGAAATATTTCTGGTTTGTAGCTTAGTATTTAGCCTACATCAAACAGTTGCAGAGACTGCTTTTTACACCTATATTATTTTCTTAGAAGTTCTTATGTAATAGCATAGAGCATCAAACTTCATACTTGTAAAACTGCATGCAGATGGCTGGGAGCCTTGGCTTTCTGTGCTGATATCCTTTCTGGCTGTAGTCTTTGATGTGGGAAAAGAAATCCAATATCTTGGCTTTAAATGTCAACTCTTAGTTGTATGATGATGGCACTTGCATGGGGTTCGTAAGCAAATGTTGCACATTTTCGGTAGTTTTGAGATTCTGTGATTTCTTGTAAATGCTCTTAACTGCTCCTTCTGGATTGCTGCAGATCTTGGACTTTCTGCAGAAGGTGAAAGGCTTTCTTAGAACTACACAATCCTAGTTTGCAGAGTTTTTGTTTCTGAGGAATATGGCTAAGATGAAAAACACCCTTCATAGCTTCTTGTACTATGCGGGTTCCTAAATCCAATGGACTTTTACAGGACTTGGATTTCAAACTGCAGCTGCTGCACAGTGACTCTACTATGAGTTCCAAATCTTGGCTAGAGTTCCTGGGGTTTTGAAAAAACCTCAAGCCAACTCTACTCTTAATACATTTCTTTTTTTTTTTTTTTTTTTTTAACCTCTCTCCAGGTTTCGAAAGGAGAAAAGGGAATTGGGGGAACAGTTACAACTGGAGATGGTCTAAGTGAGGAGCTCACAGAGGAAGCATTTAGTAAGTAATACTTTTTAATTTATTGTATTATTACTGTGGCTTTTCTAAAAACAGCATTTCCTTTAAGCATCAGAAATCTTACTTGAAGAATACATCCTGGACTGGCCACATGTTACAGTGTGATCCACTGAGATTTTCATTTGAGGTGTCTTGAAGATAACCTGTGCTCAGATAAACTCCTCCCAGTCAGTAGAATTTATGGTCAGGAATGAAGTAATACAGTGATAAACAGTGACACTCTAGTAATAGCTAATGTCAACTGTGGAAGATTTTTAAACACATACATGATGCTAGTATTTTTTTTCTCTACACTTAAACACAGATTGTTATGAAAGGTGCAAACTTCTTTTTTTTTTTTTTTCCCCCCCAGTAGCTACATATTTAGGCCACGTTTATTCTGCTTGCAAGACTGTTGGGGGGGAAAAAGTAAAATAAACTCTACTTGATGACTTGAGGAGGAGCTCGTCTTTGAGAAATGAGCCAGAGAAGAAAATCATCTTCATATAATTCTGAAACACTTAGTATTTCTTATATTCAAAAGAATGCACAGATTGGCAACTAATTGTGTAGGGCAGGGAGTGTCATGTGCATTCACTATAGTTTTTCTTCCTTATACCGTGAATTAAAGCCTGACACTTGTTGGGTCTTTGTGTTGGTTTTGTTGATGCTGGATTCTTGCATGGAGTCTTCACCTTGACTTTTAAGTGTTATGGGCTGGTAATCCCAAAGCTGATAGCAGAAGAGTTAGGAGGCACAGCTCTAGTCATATCTACTGATGAGATTTAGTTTTTCAAGTAGCTGATAATTCTGGTGTTTAAAATCACGGGTAAACTACTTAACTAGCAAAAATTCAAAGCCTGAGGACTGAAGTGACCGATTCAAGGTCTGAAACGCACTTTGCTCCCAGTATGATGACTTTGGCTATATAAAACAGTACAGACTCTTCAGGTCTCTACCAGCCTGGAAGAGGAGCTCAGAAAACTGGCTGGAAATAAAGAATCTAAATCTAAATATTGCAGGAGACTTACAGAAAGCTTTTTTTCCCCTATGACTATTTTAATTTTATAATTAAAATTAGGCAATGCAATTAGTAAACTGTTATCCATACTCACTCATATGTAATAGCTCTGGTTCAGAAGTAAGACACTAGCACAACTATAGGCCCAACTTATTTATGGTATGTTGCTGATGGCTTCTGGATTGCAGCTCTTGGGAGTCTGTCTGGCTTGGAAGCTTGTCTAATCAATATATAGAAATTGTTCTAAAAGCTTTATTTTGTATATATCCTGATCTGAGCTTCAGGCATTTGAGCTGCAGCTGAAGAACTGCAGGAGAATATATAGTTGGGAACTTCTGATTGTGTCTGCATCCAGTACCTCGTTTTGTATAGGCAGAGAGGCAAATTCACAAAAAGTTTCTCCTCTGGATGCTCATGCTTTGCTTAGTCTGAGTATGATGCCCACCAGAAAAAAGGAATCCCTTTATATCTGTGGATCCTGTGTACCCTTCCCAAATTTGAGATGGTCCCTGTTAAATGGCAGAAGGCTGAAGATCTGCTCCTAGTCACTTGTTCAAATATCTCAGGCCTGGGAGCCTCAGTGTACTCTATGAAATAAGCCTTAATTTGCTGTGATTTGAAAAGAGCAGCTCTGGAAGCAAATACTAAGCCTTGGCAGGATACGAAGGAGATGTTGCAGTAGTAGAAGAAGGAGAAAAAAAAATAATCCTGTGAAATAACTGATCATGTCCAGTGCTGCAGGTATTTCTCTCCATAGGGGCAGCTATAGATCTATTCAGAACGATGGCCCCGCTGCAGAAGAAGCAGTAATAGCTGTGCTACGGTGGCATAACCCTTAGCTCTCTGTCTTAGCCTAACGCCTGGGCTGGGTCAGAGGCTCAGCGTTAAACTGTGTTGGGTGTGAAACATGCGCATCGAAAGGCAGTAAAATTTTGGACCTGTCAGAGCCCCTTCTCACTATGATCTTAATGCATCTCTTAACTTGCAACTTTGGAACTTAGTATAATGAAGGTGGGGGAAAAAAAACCCAAACCCCCAGTTTAAACCCCGCCAAGCGTCAGCTTTCAAATGAAAGCTGTGAGGATTATACTGTGTTTTCAACATTTTTTTTATGGGTTGTAAGTCTTATTTATACACAGTAACAGCCATGCTTCAGAAAGAAGAAAGCCCCTTTGTTGTTGTTTGTCTTCCAGTGGAGGATGTTATGTTGCAGTGACTTAAGAGTTTCGCTGCTTTGCTTCCACGTAGCAGCTGTAACATCCCTACCCTGAATGTCGCGGAGCTCAACGCGCGTGTTATTGCAAAGGTTTATCTTGGAGCGTCGCTGTCTAATAAAGCAGCACAGTGATGTGATTGAGTTCCTCGCCCAGCTGTATGCTCAAGCGCTAACCCTATGTCTAAACAAAACAAACTGAATTCTCCAGGTTTCTTGGGAAGTTGAATGCTGGAGGTTGCTTTTTCGGTGGTCAGGATAGCAAACCTCCATATGCCAGTGTTCAGTGGTGAAGTGTTCTGCTTCGGAAATGTACAGGGGAAGAACAAGGTGCAGTCTTAACTTTTAGATTATCTGATGGAAAATTAAGTTGAATTTTGTTTCTTAAGTGTTTCTTCTTAATGGGAATAAACTTGTTCACTTGTAACGCTCAGTAACAAGTGTTTCTAACAGGCGGTGTAGGCTGGTAGCTGTCAGGAGAGGAATGGCTCCATAATCCTGGAGTGGACTGCAATTAAAGGTTATTTAATGGTGACAGACACATCAGACAGGGCTCTGTGTATGTTGTAGTTCCCATCTAACTTTCTCAAAATGATCTTCCTTTCAGCTAACCAGTTGCCAGCAGGCTTAATAACTACAGACGGCCAACAGCAGAATGTTATGGTCTACACAACATCATATCAACAGGTACTGCATTCCTGTCCCCTCCTCCCCCTTCTGCTGCTAAAATTCAAATGCTAAGTCAGCTGCCCTGTTCTGAAAGATGAGAATGAATTTTATTTAGTCCTTTGGTGGTGGCTGTCATGACATTCCAGCACTGTTGCAGACAATTCCAAGGCTGCTAGCTGTGATGCAGTTTCAGAAAAGCTGCATTTAAGTG